CTGTCCCCAGCACTGGAAAAGGTCTGGAGACCTTAAATCCTGGCTGGACAGGGCTTGGAGCAGCTTAGGGRRTGGAATRAGATGAGCTTTAARGTCCCTCCCAACCCAAATCATTCCATGATTCCACGATCTTGAACACAGGAAAAAGGATTGATTTACTGGAGYGCTGTCAATCTTCTTAAGTTTTTGCCTCCATCCTCTCAAATTTTAGCAGCAAATTTGAAGAGGTTCTAAGACCAACAAACCAGGGACAGACCTTGCAAGGCTGTGTGGCGGTACCTGCCTCGTGTGAAGGGGAAGCCCTGATTTGGTCCCTTTTAACCCAAACCGTTCTGTGATTCCCTGAGCGGAGCTGGCGGCTCGAGCAGGGTGTCTGGGGGTGTCGGGGTGCGTGTGTGGGTGAGCAAGACAGCAAGAGGAGGAACCTTACTGCAGTAGGACTGCTTCTCGTCCGACTTGTCCTTGCAGTGCACGACGCCRTCGCAGGTGCGGCTGAAGTCGATGCAGTCGCCGTTGCCGCACTCGAACTCRTCCACGTTGCAGGTGGAATTCGCAGCTGGGCAGAGCACGGGGATGTCAGTTCTGCCAGGCTTAGCTCGGCCTCACCCCTCGCTTCCTCTCAGCCCCTCCCTCCCTCTCAGCGCCTTCACCTTTGCAGGTGAAATCYTCCTGCAGGACCCGCTCGCCGCGGCAGGAGCAGTTGACGTGGCCCTTGGGGGTGAGCAGGCACAGGTCCTGGCAGCCACCGTTGTTCACCCGGCATGGGGACAGCTCGCCTAGGACAGAGGGACAGCGGTCACACCAGGGATGGACTCAGCAGCCGCTGCTCCTTGTCCTCCCTGCTGGGGCAAAAAGTAGGGATCCCTCCCCTTGTTATTCCCATGGGGCTATGAGAGGTGTAGGGACTTGGTCTCCGGGTATTTTACAAGAAAATGCCCTGGGAAGAGCAGGGATGGGGCAAATCCTCTGCGTGTTCAGCCTGCACAGGGTTTGGAGATGGACAGCTCGGGTGTGAGAGTCCTGAGGGGGCAAGGACAAGCTGGGAAGGACGGTGGGATGGTTCCCAAAAGGCCAGGAAGGATGGTGGGATGGATTCCCAAAGTCCCAGGAAGGATGGTGGAATGATTCCCAAAGGGTCAGGAAAGACAGTGGGATGGATTCCCAGAGCACCACGAGGGACAGTGGGATGGGTTCCCTGAGGACCACAAGGGATGGTGGGATCATTCCCAAAGCACCATGAAGGATGGTGGGATGGGCTCCCAAAGGGCCATGAAGGACAGTGGGATGGATTCCCAAAGTCTCAGGAAGGATGGTGGGATGATTCCCATGAAGGATGGTGGCATGGGTTCCCAAAGCACCACAAGGGACAGTGGGATGGGTTCCCAAAGGGCCAGAAAGGGGAGTGGGAAGGGTTCCCAAAGAAAGACAGGATGGATTCCCAAAGTCCTATGAAGGATGGTGGGATGGGTTCCCAAAGCACTATGAAGGATGGTGAGATGGGTTCCCAAAGGGCCTGGAAGGACAGTGGGATGAGTTCCCAAAGTCCCAGAAAGGACAGGATGGATTCCCAAAATCCCAGGAAGAACAGTGGGTTGGGTTCCCAGAAAGGACAGGATGAATTCCCAAAGACCTACAAAGGACGATGGGTTGTGTTCCCAAAATCCCAAGAAAGACAGGATAGATTCCCAAAGTCCTATGAAGGACAGTGGGATGGGTTCCCAAAGGACCATGAAGGACGATGGGTTGTGTTCCCAAAATCCCAAGAAAGACAGGATGAATTCCCAAAGTCCTATAACGGACAGTGGGATGGTTCCCCCTTCCCTGGGCCTGAACACAGGACGAGGGGCAGAGTGTGGGGACACTGCAGTGACAGCAGAAGGTCCTTACAGCTGTCGGTGTCATTGGCCACGGCGATGATTCCCATGGGCTGCTGGGGGATGTCCACACGCAGCAGTTTCATGTCGGTGCCCACGTATTTGTTGGCGCGCTGCACGGCGCGGCGCACCCAGTCCGTCCAGAAGATGTAATCACCATACACCGCCAGGCCGAAGGGGTGCACGGGCTCCGACTTCAGGATCACCTGCCAGGCACGGAATCGTGGAATGGGGTGGGTTGGGAAGGATCTGGAAGGTCACCCCATTCCCACATCGCTGCCACGGGCAGGGMCACCTTCCACTAGGACAGGGTTGCTCCGAGCAACGTCGGACCTGGCTTTGAACACTTTACAGAATCCTTGGGGTTGGAAAAGACCTCCAAGATCGAATCCAACAGAATCCTAGAGGCTGGAAAAGACCTCCAAAATCGAATCCAACAGAATCTTTGAGGTTGGAAAAGACCTCCAAGATTAAATCCAACAGAATCTTTGAGGTTGGAGAACTCCAAGATCGAATCCAACAGAATCCTTGAGGTTGGAGAACTCCAAGATCGAATCCAACAGAATCCTTGAGGCTGGGGAACTCCAAGATCGAGTCCAGCCTGTGACCAACCCCCTTCACAGCACTCAGTGCCAGTTTTTCCTCAGATACCTCCAGGTGGGCAGATACCTTTACCTGCCCACCTCCCTGGGCAGCCCCTTCCATGAAAAAATTCCTTCTTGTGTCCAACCTGAACCTCCTCTAGGGCAGCTTGGAGCCATGTCCTCACTTTTTAGGGACACAGGCAAATGGGAGGCAGAACCCGCTGTGGGATGCAGCCCCGCAGCCCCCCAAACTCAGAATGTCCACCCCAATGGGATACCCAACCTCCCCAGCCTCAGGAACAGCTCTGCNTTTTAGGGACACAGGCAAATGGGAGGCAGAACCCGCTGTGGGATGCAGCCCCGCAGCCCCCCAAACTCAGAATGTCCACCCCAATGGGATACCCAACCTCCCCAGCCTCAGGAACAGCTCTGCYRCCCTCTGACCACRMTCTGGMCCCAATTTGGACACTCAGACTCACRTGGCGATGRGAGCCGTCGTACTCGCAGCGCTCGATCTTGTCCAGGGTGGCGTCGGAGAAGTAAATCTTCTCAGCCTTGTGGTCGATGGCCAACCCGTTGGGCGTCCGTATGTCCTGGTCGATGATGATGAGGACGTTGGCACCAGACAGGGTGGCTCGCATGATGCTGGGGTGCTGCTCATTCCAGTTGGTCCAGAACATCAGGCTGGGAGTGGAGAAACACACACAATGCCCTTGGAGCCCCAGCTCGACCACGTCCAGGCTGGCTCCATGGCTGAGGGGCTTCCAGAGACTGGGGGATGGATGGGACACAATTCCCACATAAAAAGAGTGGGAAGGGGGAGAATGAGGCTGCTGAAGCCATCTGGGAAATGTGGCACCCCAAGGATGGGAACAGGACAGGAGAGTCTGGAGCTGCTTTGGGGTGCTGAAGGATTTGTRGGTCTTTCCCCCTTGGGGTTCCAAYCCTYTCTGWGCTGGAATCCAGAGCTTCCTCCCCAGCRCAGCGATGTCCACTGGGATCACATGAACCCCTGAAAGGACTGGCTGGACCCTCAGTGACCACTCACTTCTGACACTCATCCAGCACGAAGGCCCGGGGGTGGTCATCTCCCGACATGGTGATCACCGTCTCCCTCTCGAACGCGCCGATCCGGCTCTGGTCCACGGTGTGCCGGGTGATGGTGGACGTGGTGTAGCTCGTCCAGTACAGCGTGTCCCAGCCTCGGTGGTACGCCAGCCCCTCCACAGAGCCCACATCTGGGGAGGGGACAGGTGAGGGTCACACCCAGCCTGGCCCCTGCAAGGGTCACCCCGCTCGACCGGTGCTGACCCTGAGAATGGGACGTTGATGTTTGCGCTTTTAATTAAAGCCCAAAAATCCCTCGGASGTTTTGGCTGCTGGGTGGGGACTCAGCAGGGCTGGGGGCTGTGCTCAGGGGGGAGCAGAAACCCCTGAGACTCGGGAGTCTGATGGGCAGAGCTCTGCTGGAGTGACCCTCCCTTGCAGGGATGGACACCTCCAATGCACCAAAGACCTGAATTTGGCTCTCACATGAACCAAATGCTCACTTKCTCTGAGCCCTCAGCAGCAGCACTGGAAAAAGGGGAGGATTTCCCTCTACCAGGGCACAGCTGAGCCCCTGGGGCACAAAGTGACAAGGCAAAGCCTCCAGGGGACCAGGGAGCCCTTCCCAGCCGGGAACTTGAACYGTGCACCCATCCTCCCGCCTTCATTCATGCTCAGCAAAGGGTTTAATGAGGCGGCTGTGAGAGCCGGGCGTGCTCTCCCCTCCCAGGGATAAAGCACCCTGAGCATCCCTGTGATTTCCCTCATTAGCGGCACATCCAAGGCCCTGACTCGGGGAGCTCCTGCAGCTGCAGCCGCGGCTCTTTGAAGCTGCTGCAGGTGCCAATAAACCCAACCAATTGCAAGGTGAGGGCTGGAGGTGAGGCCAGGGCTGGGCAGCCCAAGGGTGAGGGCTCAGGGCGCTGCCTTGGGAGCTGGGCATGAGCACGGAGCYGATCTCAACTTTGCTGCAGCGCTTTTTTTGTAGAGCCATGCCCGTCCATGCCTTGTGACATGCTCTCCGTGCTGGAATGAGCTCTGCAGGCTGCTCCCAATGCCTGTGTCCACTTCCAGAGGCTCCTCAGAAACCTCACAGCTCAGCCCGCACCCACCACC